TTCCCACCTAGAACCCTGACAGTGATCAGCACACACTGAGAACAGTCAGTACTAGATTCTCGGTTCACAGTTACCATGGATGACCACTCACTGTAACTTTATCAAAGGATACGGATTCATTATTCCTAAAGAGCAAACATCCAGAATGCTCCTTGGGAGGATCACTACCGTTTGGATTTTTAAAATACTTTGCTAAAATAATCTCTCAAATTTTTAGTTGTGTACATTTTTATCTGACTAGCACATCTGACCAAGAAGTACTTGCTGAAATGGCAAAGTATAACAGCCTGGAAATCAAGAGACATGGTTATACTTGATCATGTGGTCCTCAGAATTTCAAGTGTTTCAAGGACTTTCAGAAAAGCCTGGACAAGTTCCTCAAAGGTCGGTGGTTCAAACCCAGACAAGTGACAGTAGATAAGTCACTCCTGGGAATCCAATACCAGGTTGTTGAATAGGAACCAACTCAACAGCACTTAACAACAAATCTAAAATAAAACGTTTGTGGCCTTAGTCAAGTTTGTGATTAAATGCTGGAAAACAAAACCAATCCCACTGTTTTCAGTGGACAGACTAGAACTGCTCAATAGTTTCCAAAGCTGTAAATCTTTATGGGAGTAGACTGCCTCATTTTTCTCCCATGGATCAGCTGGTGGGTTTGACCTGCTGACCTTGTTAAAACTACCCTAAAAGGTTTCCAAAGATGTAAACTTTTACCAAAGCAGACTGCCACATCTTTCTCCCATTGAGAGGCTGGTGGATTCAAACCACTCACTTTGACAGCAGTTGACTGCTTAAGCCACAGAGCCACCAGGGCTCTGGAAATGCTGGAAAAGGAAACATATATTACTATACACAAATTTAACTTCCTCAAGGGCAGCTGGAAGTGGCTACACTAGCTGCAGTTGGAAGGGGCTATACTAGCAGCCCTGCCCTATAAGAAGGAATCTTTTCTAAGGCACAGTGATGTACTCAGCACTACTGGTAAGCATTTCCTCTTGCTTCCATAATACAGTTACACTGTGGCTACTGTGCCTTCAGTGTGCCCCATACAACTGGATATCTGACTGTCCTTGCCCCATGCATGTACCTCCTCACCTATCCAGTGAGGGCGGTCCCTGTCTCATTAGTGGCATTTGGTTTTCATGACTGTGGCTATCTGCCACACTATTGGAAAATCATTCCTTCTGCTTTCTCCCCTGTCCCAAACCTACTCTGGGCTTCAACCCACAAGTTTAGCATCTTACAGGCATCACATGGCCCTTACCAACCAATCAGATGCCTATCCTCCCTTACCCCAGGAGTTCTATGCTCTTCAGGCTCTGAGTGCTTTTTGCTGGGCACCTGGGACTACTGAATGGGAGACCAAAAAGTGTGGTTCTTTCACATACTATGTGACTTTGGGAAAACAATCTTCTAAGGTACTATGTGTATATTACCTAGTCTCAGGACTGCAATGAGGAGTAAAGGGTGAAACCACAGGAAGCTGTGGAATGATTCAGTGCCTTCTAGGAATGAAGCTTTTCCAGAAGCCTGAGTGCACTGGAAGGATGGCCTCCTGAGAGCTAAGTGTTTCCTTTATCTCATCCACTAAAAGCCTTGGAGGAATTCTGAATCTCATCTCCAAATAAGCTTTCCAGAATAAAAGTCAACTTGTACACTAACCATATTTATATAGCACATTTCAATGTAAGAGGGTTAGTGTTTATAGCCGAAGTGTCACCTAAATCAGATGTTTCAAAGTTAATATTAGAAACAGGATAATTTTAAGCAAAAAAATTTAAGAATCGCCCATAATTCTACCACCAACTAGTAAGTATTCTTAACATTTTAATGATCCTCTTTCTAGTTGTTTTTTTTAAATTAATTTTGTAAACATCTGTTAACTGGGATCGAACACGTTATTATTTATCAACTGGTATTTTCAAGTTCCAATATTCCAACTCTTAAATTTTAAATTGAAGGGTATTGTTTTTTCCAACTCATGGTGACTCTCTATAGGATTTCTGAGACTAAATCTCTGCAGGAGCAGAAAGCCTCATCTTTCTCCCACAGAGCAGCTGGTAGGCTCAAACCACCAACCAAATGGATCACAATCCAATATTTAATCCCCTAGAGTCACTGCACTCCCCCATGGGAAAAACTGCAGGATAGTTATAATTTATTTCAAGTTGATACACATTATATACGGACTAATATATGGATAAACAATATGGACTAATAAACAAAATTTGTATATACCAAACGTTTCGGGTTTATTTTAGAACCTCCAGAATGAACTGAATGTTTAAAAGAAAAATTCTGTGTTGGTAGAATTCAATTAATGAGTAACTACAAAACATTAGGAAAAGCTCCGTATACATAAATAAAATTTAATGCTACCAATATTACACTGAATATACATGCAGAACTACAAAACATCATCTCAAATGACATTTTAAAAAATATATTAATGATGGTGTGGCACTATAAGAAAAATACTGAAACACGAGATTGGTTTGAATCTCAAGGTCGGAGAGAGCTGCTCCTGGGAAACCCTACAGAATCAATATGAGTTAGAACTGACTTGTCGGCACTTAACAGCAACAAAACAAGTCAATAGTCACAGTTTATAATACAGTCTCTAAAAAGAACCCTTTTTAGAGTTTACAAAAAGTTAAGCCCTTGGATGCTCACCAAAAGATCGGTGCTTTTGAGTCCACCAGCAGAAGAAAAGACCTGGCGATCTGCTCCCATAAATACAAGAAACCCCAATGGGCCTACTTTGTCATATAGAGTCACTATGAGTTGGAAATTACTACAAAGCACACCAAAGATTAACAACAACATGGATAATTAACCAATCGTAGCTGTTGCCTTCATTATGTCTCAAAGTTAGAACAAAAGCAAAGAAATAGTGTTCTAACAAAATAATGATCAAAATTTATAATTCTATTAAATGACTATTTTATATTTATGAGCTAGTACAAACCAAGCAATAGAGTTAAACTCATAAAATAAATACTGACCATCATAGCTCATCTGTAACTGTAAAGAGCTCAACAGAAGATGGGTATGATTCATTTCAATCATGAAGAGAATAAAGGTTAAGAGAGCAAAGAATCCCTCCCACATTTAATAAACCAAGGAGATTACAGACTGCTCAAAGCCTCGACTGATCTTTTGCCCTTAGATAACTACTAGTATGCACTTTTCATTTTAGTGGTTACGAATAGGGCTGCGAACCACAGGGTCAGCAGTTCGAAACTACCAGCTGCTCAGCAGGAGAAAGATGAGGTTTTCTGCTCCCATAAAGATTTACAGCCTCGGGAACCGTGTACAGGGTCGCTATGGGTCGGAACTGACTTGAAGGCACTTAATTAACAACAACAACATGTCAAAGATAATGATTCAACTGCCAAACTTTAAAGGAATGTGCAAAAGAACTTTACAAACCAAAGAGAAAAAAAACCCTAAACACTGAATAAATAATTTGAAAAGATCATATCTCACTAATAAAGAAATACATATTTACATTGACAAAAATTACAAAGAAAAATATGGGAAAATTAACACTCAAAAACTCTCAGGGGAAAATGTGGCAGTAATATCAAAATGTAAAATGAGCATGTCTTCCCAGGTATCCTACTTTTACAAATTTCTCCTTAAAAAAAAAACAACCAAGCAGCCTATCAGGACTGACTGTGAATGTTGCAAATGTAAAGGTAGATATTTCGTAAAACAAAAGGAGTGGTGTGGTTGATCTTGCAGTCCAGGAGCAGAGGACCCTGGGACCATCAGGGGAGAAGACGGAATGTGGGACCCTGTCCAGAGAATCAAAAATGCCAGAGATGGAGGCAGAGACGATGGCATGGAGAAATGGAGCAGCTGAGGACTCAGGGAGGGAGAAGGGCTGTGTGCTGGCGGCCGGGGGGTGGGGGTGGGGTTGGGTGTTGGTTTGGGTGTGGGTGTGGGTGGCAGGCTTCCAGGGCATGTCCTTTGGTTGTTTGAATGATTATATAATTACTTGGTTGTTTGAATAATTACATATTCCTGAGTGCTTCAGTGTACATCAAAAAAAAAGAAGAAGAAAAACAGAGGAACTGGCAGCAAATGCTGTTGAATGATGATACATGGAGGGATGGTAATCATTGCAATAAAATGAAATACAACAGGACCAATGTAAAGCTGATGTTCTCCCATGTAAACCATCACTCAATTCACAATAAAAACTTTAAAAAATCCCACAGCAGCCTAAGTAAAGCGAAGACATAGATGTACAACCTAGTTTGCACAAGCATTTCTTGTCCTAAACAAAAACTGGAGAAAACCAAAATGGAATGATCATTTAGAGAATGACTGACTAACCTCTGCTATGAATCCTGATATGGCACTATACAATTAGCACTGGACTGGTAACCACAAGGTCAGCAGTTCAAATCCACCAGCTGCTTTCAGAAACCCGATACGGGATCACTATTATGAGTTGGAACTGACTTGGCAGCACACATGTCCATAGTAAGAAATTCTACTTAGCTTTAAAAAGAATGCCAAGGATATACAATGGCATGGAAAGATGTTCATATATCATTGTATGAAAAACAAACCAAACTGCAGAGCCTTACGTATAATAAGAATACTAACAATGATGCATGTGATATGTCTCCTGATATGCTTTATAAATTTGTTTGAACACGTATAGAAAATTATCAAGAAGGGCAAATCCTAGTTGTGTACGGTGTTTCTCTCTAAGGTTATGGGATACACAATAACAAGAAGTGGAAACTAAGATTTAATTTTTTAGTCTTCCATGTTGTGTGAAGTTCTGTATTAGAACTTTACCTCTGTAATTTAAAAAAATAGTAAAGGGGGCATTCTCTCAAAAAATAAACTGTAACATAGTAAAAAACGGATCTCAGCCTATCTATTAGACAGTAGTTACATGCTTATTATTAAGTAAGGAGGGTGGCTACAGCATTAATTATTTAAGAACTAAACATCAAATGAAGACACCCACTTACCTCTTTAGGTGATAAATTTTGTGTGTATACTGCCCTTTTTCTCCATCCTTCTCATAAGGCTCATTCTTCAAGACTTCAATTCCCTCTCCACCGCCAGTTTCATTTTTACTAGCTTCTGCAACGGAGTAAAGCTGCCCAACCTGATACTGAAATTTTAAATAAAGTAAGTCAGTAGTACCTGCAGAAAACTTCCTACACAAAAATCTTACAAAAGACAATAAAGCAAATCAAGCCCCTATAGCACGTATTATAGAATATGACCCCCCCCACACTACCACCCAGTCATGGAATTGATCCCGACTCATGATGACCCTATACGGTTTCCAAGGCTGTAAATCTTTGAGTACAGACAGTCTCATCTTCCTGCCGAGGAACAGCTGGTAGGTTTGAACTGCCAACCTTGCAGTTATCAGTCCACCAGAGCTCCTTATAAAATGACACACATGATAAAGTAATGTTTAGGAAGACCAACACCAGATAACCATACAACTTTAGAAAATCTATAATGTCTACAGAACTTCTATTATTCAAGAGAAATGCCAGTTATCAACACTCTGGTGCTTTAGTATATACTATCTACATACCAAGGAGCTCTGGTAGCGTAGTGGTTACGAATTGGGCTGTGAACCTTAAGGTAAGCAGTTCGAAACTACCAGTCGCTCTGCGAGAGACAGAGAAAGCTTTCTGCTCTTGTAAAGATTTACAGCCTCGGAAACCCTGTACAGGGTCGCTATGGGTTGGAACCGGCTCGACGGCACATAACAACAACCATCCAAATATCATCAATAAAAGATCTTAACACTAGTTTCTCCTCACTGTACAGTAAATATACATTTGTACTTGCCAAACCATTTTCACATTGACTGTATCTATTTTAATTTGCACAAAATTCTGAGGACTTGGCAAACGTATTCACTGTCCATGTGCCAAATAAAGTTTAGGTTTACAGGGATTATATACTGATTTGTATACGGGTAATAGAAAGAGCAGGGAAACATCCCAATAATAGTGACAAAAAATATAACACGCAATAACAAATGACTGAAGACCCAAATTTCAGTAGATCTTTTTATTTGTGACCTATGTATGCCCAATTTGCTCCTTGCCCATCTAATCAAAAACAGTACTGGGGGGCCAGGACTGGAATTGTGAATTGTGGAGTTTTCAAACTTAAAGAACCTGTTTTAATACATAAACATTACCATAAAAGGTATGAAACAACTGAAAGTGGCTTCCATTTCACTTTTAAAAGAGCCAGAAATCTCAGTGGTCTGCATCAGGATCTGAGTTAGCAGACTTGTCCTGTCTTGATCTGAAATCACTAACAGTCCCAAATAATGATGAAAATCAAAGCTAAAACCATGTGTTCTAATGTGTTTCAATGACCCACCATGACACTGGCTCCAAACTCTCCAATGTGACTCAATTTCTTCCCTCCAATGAAGATAGCTGAAGAAGTGTTTTTCCTCTGTATAAGCATTATTTTCCAAAAAGCTATACAAATATACTTCTGTAAACTACCAATTTAAAAAACAGGGGTAGTTGTAAAGCAAGTACGCACTGACATCTAAAAAGCCTATAGTATGATACTATCTTAACAGGTTAATTTCAGCACACAGACACAAATACACAATCTTCCTCAATTTATAACGGTTTAGCATGTTGGAACCAAACAAAATTTTAAATGCACCAGAGGTAATTTTCTATAAGAATTTTAGATTGCACAGAAAACTGCGTTTCTTCTTTCACTTTTACATAACGCCTAGGGCTAGTACAGTAATGCCACAATCCTTAAGTTCTTTACAATGGACTTTTCAACAGTCATAGTTCAAAAATAGAATTAAAATGTGCCTAAGACAAAAGGAGCTCTGGTAGCATAGTGGTTACGAACCGAGCTGTAAACCACAAGGTCATGTTTGAAACTACCAGCTGCTCCACAGGAGAAAAGATGAGGTTTTCTGCTCCCGTAAAGATGTACAGCCTCGGAAACCCTGTACAGGGTTGCTATGAGTCAGAACCGACTCCACAGCACATAACCACCACCAAGACAAAAGCTCTGATAGCATAGTGGTTACGAATTGGGTTGTGAACCGCTAGGTCAGCAGTTCAAAACTACCAGCTGTTCCACGGGAAAAAGATGAGGCTTTCTGCTCCTGTAAAGATTTACAGCTGACCAGCTACTCCTGAGAAACCCTATACAGAGTCACTATGGGTCAGAACTGACTCAATGGCACTTAACAAGCCAAAAGTTAAATTAGATCTTGGTCAGAAACAACAAAACTTTACACAGAAACAACTGTACAACAAACTCCAAAAAAATATAGTAGGCAAACAGACGGGCATGTAGTGGCATGCTACTAGGTTTTCTCTTATTGTCACTTTTTCAGTAAAACTGGGAATAGAAACAAGAAGTACATTTCTTAAACCTGGATATAACCAAAAGTTCAGAAAATAATTCTGGATGATGATACTAAGGATTAGAATTATTTCAAGAAGTAGATTTAATCAGCTGAAACCAAAAGAAAAACTAACAAAAACCAGTGTCAGTTTGCCCATTTATTCTCAAACAACTGTGCAAGTAATGGATGATGGTACCTGCCTTACCTCAAGAATGTTTTCACTCAGTGAAACCTCAGGCACTACCCAGAGAGTTCCGTTCAAGTCTACACTAACAGTGCTGGGCAGCTATGCTTCTTTAGTTCCTATTTTCTTTTCTCTGTCTTCTGTCAGCTATCATTTCTTTGGATATCAGTTTTTGTCCCACTTCCAGTTCACTGATTCTAATCAACCTCTGGTCCTAGAAAAACCAAAGAATGGAGGCAAGTACAGAGTACCCATTATGGAAAAGCCCAAAGGATCTTAGTTAGGGGCTTTGTTAGGTTATCTTGATTTCTTGAAAACCTTTCCTGCCTTTATCCCCATTCTTGACTACACTACAGAGCGCTACAACTACAGGCCACGCCAGGTCTGAATAGGTGATGAATTTCTATATTCTGTGCAGATATTAAGGAAGGTAAAAATTTCCCCCAGCTATGTGTGCTGGTCAGACCCCAACTGGAATACTAGTTTCAGTTCTGACTAACAACCTACAGCACCTGCAGGAGTAAGACAAGCTGGTAAGAAAGTCTAGTTGTTGTTGTTAGGTGCCATCGAGTCAGTACCAACTCACAGCGACCCTACGCACAGCAGAACGAAACACTGCCTGATCCTGGGCCTACCTCACTATTGCTGCCAAGCTTGAGTCCATCGATGCTGCCACACTTGGCCAATCCATCTCGTTGGGAGTCTTCCTCTTTTTCTATGACCCTCCACCTTACCAAACATGATGCCCTTCTCCAGCAACTGGTCCCTCCTAACAATATGTCCAAAGTATGAGAGACGAAGTTTGGCCATCTTGGCCTCCAAGGAGCACTCTGGCTACACTTCTTACAAAACGGATCTATTGGTTCTTTTGGCAGCCCACGGCACTTTGAATATTCTCCTCCAACGCCATATCTCAAAAGCATCAATTGAGTCATGTTTCATTAGGCCAAATGGACATGCTAGCACCTTTTAACCTATTAACCTCATATATAGATGATGGAACAAAATGGTTTAGAGGAGGAGAGAACGCAGTAATAAGAAATCCTGAAGGGTTACCATGTGCAAGACAGAACAGGCTTACCTCCTACTGCTCAAGTAGGACAAACTATAAACAATGGTCAAGCATTCTAGAAAAGCAGATTTTGGGTTAGTGTACAAATGTATGTTTAAAATGTCTAATAATCAAACGGGGCTGCTGTTCAAGCAGCAAGCTATCCTGACCTAAAAGTACTGAAGTTGAAGCTGGAATCATTTCTCTGGAATGACGCTGAAAGAATTCCTGCACTAAACAGGAGGTGGAACTACAAACATTCCCAGTACCCTTCCTAAGTAAGGCAGTATAACAGGAATTCATTTGCCTTGAGTTATCTGAAACATGGAATGCTGGTATGTACTGTAGAATAAGCACATTGGACTGCTAAGGATAAAGCTATAGGTTCAAACCCACAAACCACTCCTTGGAAACCTTATACAGGGTTGCTATGAGGCAGAACTGACTCGGCGGCACTTTAATGACATCATCTGTAACACACCGTAATTCATTATGTAGCCACACACATTGGAATGAATAGACATACAAATATTATGAAAATATCAGCTTAAATTAACCTATTAGACCTATCAAGGTAAACTATTATCGGTGAGATAATGCAGATGAAAGCCAGACTTACCTCCTGAACAGAACATGGCAAAACCACACGACTAAAAGACAAAAAGGAAAAAGAATATCCATTACATATGAAATAGTTAGCTTTAAAACAAATCTCTACACTTACAAGAACGTTTACTTTAAATCCAATTCTATTACAGAGAAGACTCTTAAATCCAAAATCCAAGGATGTCACTTAGGGAAAAAGGTCTTTGCAATAGGTACAGCCTTAATTAAGGATTTTTTAAATGAGGAAATAAAGAATTCCTGGATCTCCACTGATCACTAGTAACATTTTCTGTCCTTGTTGTACCAGGACACAATTACAGAGATTCCTGTAGGGGGGTAAAGAAACAAGTAAAAACATCACTGAAAATTGCAGGGTACAGAAATATGTTATAGGTAGTCATCAACTTAGAACGGATTTGAGTACAACAAACCATATTTACGACTGTCTCATGTGTTTGTTGTGTGTACATCTTATCATTAGTAATACGAGCTTCAAAAACTTTGTGAAAATGGAATTAAAAGTAATGGCATACAGGGGTAACGCACTGTATTAAATATGTAAGGTGTTATCTACATGGGTTTGATTACAGAAACGAGTAAGTATTCTCTAAACAATGAAGAAAAAAAAGATGACAATTTCTCATGAACCTTTTGAATCCCCCTAGTATGTACTACAATGTTGTTGTACATAATTTTGTTCATGTTATCATTCTTCAATGTTCATTCACCAACAAAGATAGAATTTATGGGTATTAGTAATACAAGACAATAATGAAAACTAAACAACAGCAACAATGACAACAATACTCAATTTATTCCAAAACCAACTTATGACAGAGTGTTTAGGGACTATCTGTACCTGTGTTTGTAGACTATCTATAGTCACGTTGCCTTCATGGAACTTTTAGCATATGGTTTTCATTCTCCATCTATATGCTGTGTATTCTGTCTTTATATCATGTCTCACAGAACACATGTCTCAAATCTCATGAATATAAGCATCCATCACTGATTTTTACAAAATAAAAATTAAAGAGAGATCCTTCAGGCTTAATAGTAAGAAAAAATCTTTTACCAAAAAAACTACCCTGAACTTTATATAAATACAATATCCCTTTCCATGGTAGAATCATTATAAGGTTGATAAGTATGGTGTTGTAGGATCAGTACTGGACTGCGAATCACAAGGTTGGCGGTTCAAGCCAACCAGCTACACCTTGGAAACCCTACACAGGGACACTGAGTCAGAACCAACTTGACTTGAGGGCACTCAACAACAACAAAGAGAGTACTACTGGACATACCAAAAGACTTCAATCTATCTCCATTTTACCTACAACAAAATCCTGATAGGTCGAATGCCAAGGTCAATGTAATGGTGATTTACTTTCTAGCAGACTTCAGATTTGTACAAGGAAGTCCCCTATTTCACTTATTTCCACCATAAACTTTGAAAACTAAGGTCACCCCAGCAAATCTACTGCCTCCTGATAACAGCTGGTTTCCAGTATACCAGCCTCCTTTTTGTTTTTGAACATGGTCCTTTCTCAGACTTTTCCTTCAAACTATTAAGCTACCGTAGCAGTTCCATTTAAAAATCTTAATCTGAATTTTTTTCTATAAAGAGGAAAGGGAAAAAAAACCCACAAGAAAACCTGTTGTGGTGGCAAATTCCCAAGTAGGTTTCCTCCTTCCATTTCCTCTGTAGCTGTACTTTTCTCCATACTCTCCTCAAACATCGCTGCCTGGCTGTTCACATCAGCTTACCCGCCATTTTCTGTCTGCTTATGGAGATCTAGAGGATGGACATTCTGAGAATCATAATAGCGTTACCAATTTCAATTCTTATCAAGAATAAACTTGTTATGTAAGGTCCTTCAGATACCTAATCATCTTAGATGTCGCCTCAGGATACACACTAACTTGCTTTCAGTCTCATTAAATATAGTATACTAAACTGCAGGATGGGGAGAATAGGCAGGGGAAAGGCAGGAAAGATCGAGATTAGGAAGGTTTTTACAGAACCTGAAATCCTATGGTAAGAAATGTACCTGAATCATTAGTCACTAAGAAATCCGAGATGGCAAGTGGCCAGACTACAAATACACAAAAGCAGCATCTGTACGTTGCTAAAAATGATGAGAGGCAGGAGAACAGGAAAAACTCTATTATGGGAAGCTAGGTTAACAAAGGCCTGAACCAAGATGATGCTCAGGGATCTGGGAAGACGGGATCTGGTGACCAGATGTGAGGGGACAGAAAAGGTAAGAGTTTAAGAGTTAAAGACTTATCTGAAGTTTCAGAAAAATAAAGAATCATTGGTGAGTAATTTTACAAACTACTCAATAGCAGGCTAGCAGGAAGATCCTCGTTTTTACATAACAACACTTTCAGAGAAACTTACTTCACAAACTGCAAATGACTAAGACATTCTGAATGAAAGATGAGCCAGGTAACATCAAGACTGACTTAATAAAACATGTTATAATAGAAACGGAACAGAGAGGTTCAGCTTTCTCTGAACAACCTCAGGCTAATCTTTTTTTTTTCCAAATAGAACTGGCAATTCCATTTAATTCTTTAAAACCTGGACATTATAACTAATGGTAATGTCATCTATAGCTTAGTGACTTACACTCATTGCTAACCTTTTACTTCAAGTTAATAATAATAATTTAAAAAATGCTACTTTGTAGAAGAGACATTTGTCTACCTATTTTATAGTTTATCAATATCTTCACATAGGAATAACCTACTCATTGCTCCTGCCCAAAAATACTATTAAAACGTTGACCCAAGAGCAGGAAGAATCATTTTTCATTCAACCACATTGACCAAGTACTTACAGTGTGGAACACTATATGTTATGTTAGATATCAGGAATCTGTAAATAAAGGACAGACCATGACATCAAACACTTGAGGGAAAAGAAAAACGTCTAAGAAAGACAGGAGGCGCTCTGGTGGCATGGTAGTTAAATACTGGGCTGCTAGGTTAATGCGTTGAAGGAGCTCTGGTAGCACAGTGGTTACAAATCGGGCTGCGAACCGCAAGGTCAGCAGTTCAAAACTACCAGCTGTTCCACAGGAGAAAGATGAGGCTTTCTGCTCCCATACAGATTTACAGTATCAGAAACCCTGCACAGGGTCACTATGAGTCAGAACCAACTCCATGGCACATCACCACCACCACCAGGTGAATGCACTGGACTGCAAAGTTGGTTTGAACCTAAGTCAGCAGTTCAAGCTCACCAGTCACTCCTCGGAAACCCTATACAGGGTTGCTATGCGTCAGAACTGACTCAATGGCACTTAGTAACAACAACAACCGCAATGTCAAGAGTCCTAGTGTGGCATTGTGGGTTAATGTAGTGGACTGCAAGGTCGGTTTGAACTGCAACATCAGCGGTTCAGGCTTACCAGCCGCTCCTCGGAAACCCTATACAGAGTTGCTGTGAGCTGTTGTTAAGGGAGCATTTAACAACAACAACAAACTGCAAGGTCGGCAGTTCAACTCTACCAAATACTCTAAAGGAGAATAAGGCAGTAGTCTGCCCCTGTAAAGCTTTGCAGTCCTGGAAACCCTGAGGGGCAGTTCTACTCTGCCCCATTGGGTCATATGAGTTGGAATCAACTTGATAGCAGAAGGAAGGGAAGAGAGACTTTGGGATCAAGAAATCTGATTTAATACTCCTTGTTAAGTTGTTAAGTGCCGTCGAGTCGGTTCCGACCCATAGCGACCCTGTACAGGGTTTCCGAGGGTGTAAATCTTTACGGGAGTAGAAAGCCTCACCTTTCTCCCGCGGAGCAGCTGGTAGTTTCGAACCGCTGACCTTAAGGTTCGCAGCCCGATTCGTAACCACTACGCTACCAGAGCTCCTTAGGGGGGAAAAAAACTAGATGTTGACCACATTTTAAAACAATTGTTTTAAAATGAACTGAAGCATAGTGCATTTTAATTTTTATGATAAAATTAGTAGATAGAAAAAAATACCAGTGCAAAATCCCAAGTGCTTTTGGTGAGTTAACTTTATACTACTCACATAGCTATCAAAAGTAACTATTTGAACACTTAACTTGCCTTTTATGGAGGAGAAACTTCTAAGAAAGACATAAAGATGCCTCAATAAAATCAATCTGCAACTCACTTGCTATGGGACTTGTTTTTATTAAGTGCTGTGGAGTTAGTTTTGACCCAGTATAGGGTTTGCGAGAAGAAGCTAAAGAGCTTGAATTGCAGACACTGCAGTTCAAATCGAATTTGCAGTCCAGTGTATTAGCCCACAATGCCACACCAGGACCCCTATGGAACTTAGGGCAAGTAAGTTTCTTTGTCCTGTTTTCCCCCTTTGTCTCATATCTTCCACCCATGCATATAACAAAGACCTCAAATAATAACACTTACATGACTAATTATGCAAATGATTTTGAAAAGATTTCTATTAATCCAGTTCAGTGCTATATAAAATACTTTAACAGCATTGTCCAAAACTTCTCTCTACATTTTTTTGTCTTTTCTCAGTATCCCTGTCACTGATCAAAGTTACCATTTTTCATGAAGTCATTTCACAAACGTTAACTGAGTCTCTACTATGTACCATGGATTCTTGTAGGAACTGGCTATGTGGGAGTGAGCAAGAGACAAAAACAAAAACAAAAATCCTTGCCTTCATGGAACTTCCAGTCTAGTGTTGCAAATCCATTCCAACTAGCAGCAATCCTGTCCCTGTATAGATAGGATTTCCAAAGGTACAGATTTTTGCAGTAACAGAAAACCTCATCTTTATCCCATGGAGCAGCTGATAGGTTTTGAAATTCTGATCTTATGGTTAGCAGTCCACAGCTTATTCTACAGCACCAGCAGTGCTCCCTCCATTCTACTGTTGTTAAGTGTCGTCATGTTGGTCCCAACTCATAAAGCCTGTATAGGATTTGAGGAGGAGCTGGTGGGTTTGAACTGCCAATCTTGAGATGTTTATCCCACAGCACCGCATCAGGATGCCTCCATTCTACTTATTGTTGTTCATGCTTACCCTATAGTAACACACCAGAACTCCTCTATATTACTTGTTAGTCAAGTCAGTTCTGACTCATTCTGAGGAGCAGATGTGGTAGTGGTGGTGGCTATATGCTGTGGAGCCAGTTCCAACTCATGGCGACCCTGTATATAGGGTTTTACAGGGGCAGAAAACTTCATCTTTGTCCCACAGAACGGCTGGTAGTATCGAAATGCTGACCCTGATGTTAGCAGTCTGACTCATAGCCACTGCGCTACCAGAGCTCCTTGAGGAGCGGCTAATGGGTTTAAACTGCCAGCCTTAAGGTTCAAACCTACCTTAAGATCCAGCTCTATTCTATTGTTGCTGTTGTTAAGTGTTGTCGAGTCAGTTCCAATCACAGCAACCCTGTATAGGGTTTCTGAGGAGCGCCAGATGAGTTTGACCCTCTGACCTTGTGGCTCAAATTGACCTTGCAGTCCAGTGCATTAACCAGCGGTACCACCCTACTAGACTAGAAAACATGGTAACAAATGGTTTATTAGACGGTGACAGGCCTGGTGTGGCACTGTAGGATATGCACTTGACAGGTAACTGCAAGGTTGGCAGTTCAAATCTACCAGTCGTTCCTCAGAAACCCTATACAAGGTCACTATGTACCCAGAACTAACTCAATCAGCCCTTCACAACATGAGATGGTGATCAAGTGCTCCAGAGACTATACCAGGAAAAGTCTATGAGGAAAGTTTCCAAAAGTTCATGGAAAAGCAAACTAAAAGATAATGGATTTTTCCACGAACTTCTCTGAAGCCCCCTCATTTGAAATGGGTGAGTGCTGTAATTAGGTAGGTACAGGGATTCCCTGAGAAGGGGATAGTCAAGCAAAGACCTAAAGGAAGAGGGTGCGCTGAGAACAGAGCACCGTAAGGCCAGTGTAAAGACCCAGAATCCAGCTTACTGATGGACGGCTGAAGAACAGTGGCCAGGCAGGCTAGGCTAGAGTGGGCAAAGGAAGGGTGTCAAGGAGCTCAGAGCTGAAAAGACGACTGCAAGCCCATGTGGTGGTGGTGGTGGCTATGTGCTGTAGAGTTGGTTCCGACTCACAGTGATCCTGTACAGGGTTTCCAAGGCTGTAAATCTTTACAAGAGCAAAAAGCCTCACCTTTCTCCCGTGGAACAGCTGGCAGTTTCAAACTGCTGACCTTGAGATCAGCAGCACTGTTGTTGCTATTAGGTGCCATCGAGTCGGTTCCGACCCATAGAGACCCTGTACAGGATTTACGAGGCTGTAAATTTTTATAGGAGCAGAAAGCCTCATCTTTCTCCCATAGAACAGCTGGTAGTTTCAAACTGCTAACCTTAAGATTCGCAGTCCGATTCGTACCAGAGCTCCTTATGGTGGTGGTGGTTATGTGCCGTGGAGTCGGTTCCGACTCAGAGCGACCCTGTACAGGGTTTCTGAGGCTGTAAATCTTTACGGGAGCAGAAAGCCTCATCTTTCTCCCGCAGAAGGTGATCATAAATCCCTGGACTTCTTATTTCGACACTATGAGTCTTTGGAGAGTTTTAAGCCTAAGACTAGAACGCAAGGTTTTTAAAGGTTTGAGAACGCACACCAAAACACATTGTCTGAAGGTAGCAAAATGAAACCAAAATCTATACATTTTTAAAAGGATTTTTTAAAATGTAAAGGGCATTTGGAAAGCAACGAAAGTACACTCGAAATGCCTAGTTGTCCAAGGGATGCTGACCCCACCAACCAGCTGTGACAACTGAACTGTGCCCTGCCCGGCCCATTTCCGGTGCCAGTTCTTTCCAGTGTAAAAAGGTCCCACCTTCGCCACAAAAATCACTTCTCCAGTCTGAGGGCCTCTATTGGACAGGCCTCCATAAAAGTAGGAAGGGGTTCAGGGTGTCACCCCATCTTAAAGACTTGGAAACGGTGACTCGGAATTGAGTATGGCTAGAGGCAGTCAAAGAAAGGCCCAGAGGAGCTCGGGTTTGGAGACTCCAGGCTTCAATCTGAACTTAGGGCTCACCCAACGTCCCACCTCGTGTCCCGACGCCCTGGCTCCTCTAGCAATTGAACCAATCTCGTGGCAGGCTCCGCCCCGGACGACAAATCACAGTCGGGCCCATAGCCCCCCGCCCTCGGGCGGCTGCTCGGCCCCAACCCGCGGGCCTGGGGATGGGCCCCGACCCAGACCGGCCGAGGGGCGGGGAGAAACGGGTCCCGGCGGAAACTCCCGGCCGCACCTTCCCGAGCTACGGGCCCCCGCCCGGCCCCAAGCACTACCGCAAGGGGGTGGGGGGGGGGGAGCGGTGTTGCCATAGCAACAAGAAAGGGGCTAGGGAACCCGCAGCAGAGTGGCCTCGAGGGGGCCGGGGGAGCGTGCGGGGGGAGCGGACGCGCGCAGGGAGCGGCCGGCCTGGGGCTCACTCCGTTTTCGGAAGGTCTCCGCCGCTCTTCAGTCAATGAGTCTCCCACCCCCGTCACCTCAGAGCCTCGCTAGCGCCCACCGACCCACTCACAATTCCTTAATCAGCACCATCTTCCTGGAATCCCCTCACAGCTGCCGCCGCCGCTACCGCCTGTCAAGGCGCCTGCGTGTCCCCGCCTCCCTGACTGGAGCCACCGCCGCGCCTGCGCGTTGGCACTGTTGCGCCGCTGCCCATCGCGTCAGCTCGCGAGGAGGATCTGCTCCGCCAAGTCCTGTGCCCCACCCAGGGCGCACAAGGCTTCCACCGCGGCTGCGCTGGCCCGCTGAACGCGTGCGGCATCTACTGCGGCTGCGCAAACTTGCCACACTCCCGCCCGTTGGCTTTCTAATTCCCTTACGGGGTTCCTGGGACCCATGCTTCTTGGGGTTTTCAGTCAGTTTTCTAAATTCGGCTTTGCTAAATTTCGTTCAGGGGCAGGGGTCTCGCCTCTTAACGGACATCTAACTTCCAAAGCCCACATAATGGGTTTAGGAGTAACAACGCCCAGTCCTATTACCTTTATTTGGCCCTCTCTGTTCAGGTTCCACAGAGTCACCTGGTTTACGGTTCACGTGGATGTTCCTGAAACCCAGAGCAGTACAAGGTTCCTGAGTACAACTATCTGCTACTCACCTTGCTGGAGCCGGCAGCTGTGACCACACGGGTACAAACCCCCACAGTAGGATGAGCACTCTTAGGCCCCCTTGGGAAGAAGAGGGACTTGTCCCTAATACCACTTAGGAAAGGGCCCTGTTCTGGCAAGACAGAGCGCAGTCACAGCCAATGTCCCCCATCCCACCCAAGAGTTGGACCTTAGATTGAGGAGTAGTAGCCCATAGCTCCAACCAGGAGTCTAGGCACTGAGGACACAGCTGGCCACAAAACAGACAACTGGCCCAGTCCTCAAAGAGCTCGCAGTCTAGAGGAGGAGTTTGAAAACAAGAATTTGGAATAGCGATAAATCCTGTGTGGAGACTAAAAGAAAATGATCACGGGAGGTTGAGTAGTCTGGGAAGGGGTCTATTGTATCCATTCTATCTAGGCGGGGCTGGTGAAAGGAGATGCGGATAGGTCTCTTGTGATACAACAGTGAATAATTGTTATCAGGACTGATTGTGAGGGTTGGAAATGTAAAGGTAGACGTTTTGTAGCAAGGAGGGGAGGTCCCTGGGACCATCAAGGGAGAAGAGCAGAGAGTGGGACCCTACCCAGAGAAGCAGTGATGCCAGAGATGAAGGCAGAGATGATGGCGTGGAGAGATGGAGCAGTTGGGGACTTTAGACCCAGAGAAGGTAGGGAGCTGGGGGGGCAGGCTTGTAGTGTATAACCTTTGGTTGGTTGATGATGTATGGAGGGGATTGTAAGCATAGCAGTGAAAAGATATACTATAGGATGAATGTAAAGTTAATGTTCTCCCATGTAAACTATCACATAATTCACAATAAAACATTTTTTTAAAAAAAGATATTTTAGAACCATCTTGTATAATTTCTATCTTACGTTAAAATTAGCCAGTTCTCCAAGGAGAATAATTTTAATTTTAAGTAAAGTGATATTAAAGTATTTTTTAAAAGGCTGTGGTTTATAGTGAGAAACTGAATTCCATTTTGAGTCTTGGCATAAATTCAAGCTCCACTTGAGTTCTGACCATTAACCAGCAAAGTAAAAAGTTTTGCCCTTAAGCAGTGTATTTTTTAAAGCAAATTAGGACTCCAAGGAGTCCTGGTGTGGCACTGAAGGAGTAAATACTAGACTGCTAACCACCAGGTTGGTGGTTCAAACCCCCCAGCTATCCCTCAAAAACCCAATACAGGGATGCTGTGGGTTAATGCAAAGTCATTTGAACCGCATGGTCGGCAGTTCAAGCTTACCAACCGCTCCATAGATAGGGTTGCTACGGGTCAAAACCTACTCAACAGCACTTAACAACAACAACAATAGAGAAATACCTTTTTTCAACAACATAAAAAACTATTCATGTGGACCTTGCCAGATGGAATACACAGGAATCAAATTAACTACACCTAGGGAGTAACAAAGGAGCTCTGGTAGTGTAGTGGTTACGAATCGGGCTGCGAACCTCAAGGTCGGGAGTTCAAAACTACCAGCGGTTCTGCGGGAGAAAGATGAGGCAATCTGCTCCTGTAAAGATTTACAGCCTCGGAAACCCTGTACAGGGTCGCTATGGGTCGGAATCGACTTGACAGCTCTTAACAACAACAACCACAGGGAGTAACAATGGAGTTCAATACAGTCAGTATACACAAGACCAGGAGCCAACGATAAAACAGACCATCCCCAAGGTGAGAAGTGTGACCCTGCATATATCCCACCTGAGTTTAGAACCATCTCAAGAATAGGTTTGATGTGTTGGACACTAATGATCAAAGACCAGAAGAGTGGTGAGATGACAAGAATTTCATACATTTAAGAAAGCAAAAAGTCATGAAAAAGGAAAGAAAGAAAAGACCAAAATGGAATCAGAAAAGACTCTGAAACTTGCTCTTACTTGTAGAATAGCTAAAGCGCATGCAAGAAATGAAATAAAAGAGCTGAACAGATTTCAAAGGGCTGTTTGAGAAGACCAAGTATTAAAATGTTCAAAAACCTGGAGTTAGAAAACCAAACGAGAAGAATATGCTCAGCATTTCTCAAGCTGAAGGAACTGAAAAAAATGTCCAAGCCTCGAGATGTAATATTGAAGGATTCTGTAGACAAACTATTGAATGACACAGGAAACATCAAAAGATGATGGAAGGAATACACAGTCACTGTGCCAAAAAAGAATTGCTCATTGTTCAACTGATGGTGTTGAAGAAGTACAAGCTGCTCTAAAGGCTTTGGCAAAAAACAAGGTTTCAGGAATTGACAGAATACCAACTGAAATGTTTCAGCATACAGATACAATGCTGGAGGTGCTCGCTTGTCTATGCCAAGAAATTTGGAAGACAACTACCTGGCCAACCAATTGGGAGACATCCATATTCATGCCTATTCCAAGGAATTTCTTCACTTCTCTTAAGCTGTTCCATATTCTGGTCTGATAATTCTATAATCTCTTCCATATCTGAATCAGGTTCTGATGCTTGCCCTGTTTCTTCAGACTGTGGTTCGTGCCATTTACATGACTTTTCATTTATGTTGAAAGCTGGACATGATGTATTGGGGAAAGGACCAAGGTTCTTTCCATTATAATCGCCTATAAAGCCCTGCTGATATGATGGTAAGGTATATAATTGTAAACGAGATCCCCTTCTCCCATAATTTATCTGTTAGTGAGCCTGTGCCCATGGGTTAGTGACTTTCATAATTCTCAGTTGTTATTTTCCACATCAGGTGAATGAAACAAGCAGGCTAGAGAGCACTGAATTTATGTGCCTTCTTCCACATGTTAAACCAAAATGAAAACCAAACCTATTGGTAGAACTGACTCATAGTGACCCGATAGGATAGAGCAGAACTGCTCCATGGGGCTTCTGAAATGAAATCTTGATGGCAGCAGACAACCATCTTTCTTCAACGGAGTGACTGCTGAGTTTGAACTGCCAAGCTTGCTGTTAGCAGCCCAATGCCCTAACCCACAGGCTATGATAAAACCTAGGTTGGTTGGGCTTTCATTAAAGATAGCAGAGTACTATTTTAAAATGACTCTTTTTTCTTTCCGCTGCCAGAAGCATGAGGGAATTTTTCTCAGAGCCTCGCAGTGAGAACCTGGTGGTGGTGGTGTCGTTAGGTGCCATCAAGTCAGTACCGACTCATGGTGACCTTATGCACAGCAGAAAGAAACACTGCCCAATCCTGGGCCAACCTCACAGGACTCCTGAAAGTAGTGAGGGCCCCCAAAGACTGGGCCTACAGGAGTTTCAAGCGTGGAAGCTAATCCACCTGAATCTAATTATAAAGCAACAATTATCCTTTAAGTATTCTTCCCTGATGCTGGGTCCAGTGCCTGAAGTTTATGCTACTAGTAAGTACAGATTCTTTGTATGAGCCTGTCTGTTTCTACTTTTTGAGGAAGCAGTTTGGCCCATGACCTCAATTTCCAAAGGGATGTAAGAGAAGTTGTTAATTTTACGTTTTTCAGCATTTTTCTTCTTGCGGACAGGAATGATTTGGAAGCTATTTGTATAATGGATGGACTGAAGCAACAAAAATTGTTGATTTTAAATTTTCAGCGTTTTCTTGTTGTGAGGACAGGAATAATGATTTTAAAGCTATATGCATGCTGGTCTGGAATACTGAAAGTTCAAAAATAGTAAGGTAAACTACCTTGTGAATTAATACTGATAACTTCTAACTCAAATTTAGGGCCTTGAAGATTTTACTAACTCCTTTTCTCTTATATCTTTACCTTTTTCTCATCACTGAGAATGCGGTTTTCCACTAAAGAATTTACCATTCTGTGAGTCTCTGTATTCCCATCCTGATTACAATTCTCTTCCATTTATTTCTATACATTTTCTGTGTCAATTTTTTTTTTAATGATTTAAAAGATCTCATATTTTTTGTTGCTAAGTTATTTGAATGCTTTCAGGTATGTTTTGAGATGTACTGACTTGAAAATCAAGGCATTTTAGAAGTTACATTTAGAAGTTTAGAGCTTGGACATAATCTGCTTCAGATTTTCCCAATTTAGAAGAGAGCTGCGCCTTAGAATCACATGGGGAATGGTAGGGATGCAGTGGTGGTGGCTGTGTGCCACCTAGTCGGTTCTGTGAGAAACATTGTCGATACCCCAGAGACTGCCTCCATCCCAGTTATGAGGTCACCAATGAGTTATATCTAATGCTTACCGACAAACACTCATGATATCCAATCTGTACTCATTTTAGTGAGAGTGAGGCTTTATTGTTATTCACATTTGCAAAATCAGGTGGCAAACCAGAAGACACAGGCAGACATGCCACATACATGGTCATTTTGCAAAGCATTTTATTCTCCTAGGTCGATATAGGCCCTCCCCCAGCTCTTCACTGACTGAGTACTATGGGGTTAACAATCTTTCCTGGAAGTTGCCTACTTCCCTTGATGGCAGCATTCTTGTTTAAAGTTCCTAGTCATAGAACAGGTTCTTTACGCCTCCCCCAATCCATCCTGCTCACATACCCCAGA